CGGTAGATTTAACTACCTATAAATAGATGGAAGTTTGACCCGTGTCAAAGGTTGGGGGTGGCTGACGATTCGGAGGTGGCTGCGGGTTGACGAAAGGGAAAAGCGCGGCGGCTGCAGCCAAGCCTTCTCTATTGATTTTGGACCACCGAGAGATCTTTAACGTGCACAACTTGCACACGGGACCTCGGAGATTTTTCGCCCTTATCCGAGAAGGCTAGCTAGGTGCTATATCTTACTCTTACCTACCCTTAGAACATAGGTGTGGGTGAAAGACAGTAAGAAGGAGCCAAGCAGTAAAGCAGTAAAAAAAACTGCAGAAAGAGCTAGGAGCCCAGAGGAGGGGGTAAAGGTGGAGGGGCGGCAGAAAGTGGAGATATATGAAGCCTACAGAACATGGCTAGAGAGCAGGAAAGGAGGTGAAAGGAAATTTTTTAAAGAGTAGAAAAGTTTCCGTCGTCGTCAGGTTTCGAACTACGGATCAATAGAATGAGAGGTTAACACCGTAACCTCTAAACCACGAGAGCCCCCCCCCCCGAAAAAAGTTTCCCCCTGAAGCCTTGAAGTTTTCCTGCTGACTTTATGTCACTACTTAAGGGACAGGATGAGTGCAATACTATGATTATGGTGAACATTCACCACAGTTTCCTTTGCACTGGCTCACTACAGACTCATGATTTTTTTTTCTTTTAAGTGCGGTCGAAAAATTGTGGTGCAACTCATTGTCAAACATTTCCTCGACAATCGAGGAAAGAATCTAACTTTTGCACGATGACTTGTATCAATTCGTCGTAACAGATCAACATTTTAGTAAACACCTGTTAGCTGTATTTTAAAAATCTCACCAGGTGGATTCAACATATTTCTAAAGGTTTACATCCCATGAGTTGGGGCAATACTCAAGCAAGTCTTCCCTTTATTCTAATTGTGACACTACACCATGAAACGCAAGTTTTGAGAACCTTTATAGTATTCATAAATGTTACATGACGTCAATTTGACACCGCCCCCCCTCCCTTCCCCGGAACTTACTCGACCTAGCATGCACATCCTAGCATGCACATCCGAGATCTCCACTCACGATGGTGCCTCACCATTCGGATCGCCGTGACGTCAGGCACGAAAGAGCATTTAAACTTGTATTAAGAATGGGGAATCAAAATTTACTTATACCTCGTGTTGTGCCCCTCCTTCGTCCGACCCTGACGCATTATCTAATTCTGTCTGCTAACAAACATGATAGCTGTCAGTTGTATAGTGATTAAGATGCCCGATTTCTTCTCTTCTTTTGGCTTTCTGAGAATACCATGGCAACAAAGAACCTATTTTCTGGTCCAAAGCTGTTGCATCATTTTATTGATCTCCACAAAGATAATTATGCTGTGGCATGATAAATACATGCAAACACACAGCCATTGGATGGACACACAAAATATGATATTGTACAAAGTCATCCCACGATCAACCAAGTCCACACCAGAGTAGGGCCATTAACTAAGATTTACATCCATTACTGTGAACTTTCAAAATCACTTCTTTTTCGTAGCTTCATCAAGGGTATTACAACCCCCTCACCCCACCCCTCCACCTACCAAAAGTCAGACAAATTAATTGTTGTAAACTTCTCAGTAACTGATTCAATTTTGTTGCGCAAAAATAGTAAAATTCTCCAAGAGATATTTCAGAAAGTGGGTGGGTTTAGTAGATAAATCTTAATTTGAACTTTCTGCACCTTCATATTCACAAGCATCAGTTAAAATTATATACATATATATAGGAGTTGAGAAAAGGCAGTGGACAGAAAGTACAGCAAAAAGAAAGAAAGCTTTTCAGAAATGACACATTGCACCAGAGCAAAAGTTTTGACCCAAATAAGCACACCCAACTGATAATACAAATAGTTATGATTATTAAAAAATGTTAAAAGACAAGTGCAACATGTTTTCCAAGACATCCATTTTATTTATCATAAATTAAAGATACAATTATACCATGGTTGAGATAAGGGTCCGAGCTTATATTACACACACATGAATTCATCAGTACCAGACGACATGTACCTGAATATACCAAAACCTTGGTACAAAGTCAACATAGAGTAATGTCTTCGGGTCATCAGATGGGCCTCCATCTGATTGCTTTGTTTTCATGGCAATTCAATTGAATTGTACTGGAAGGGTTAAAATAATGCAGTCTCAGCTCCTGAAGGAGCACCCTCCAGTCCCAATCAAACAAGACAAAAACCAAAACCAAAACCATCATCAGGGTCTAGCTGTGGGAGAGGGTGTAATCAGCCTTACACTGAAGGTCTGCAACTTTTGGCTGATTCAGCAGTAAAATTCTAGTTCCCTAAAAATCAGGGGGGAATTCTAACAAAGAAAACAGAACAAATGCAAAATAAATAAAATGTTGGAAATACATTCTCTTTCAAAAGAATGTTAAACAGAAGGTAACAAAAGTTTTGAAAACAAATTTTATAAAAAGTTTCTTGCTTTTTTCCCATAAAAATCTCAACAGGGAAAAAATTGCGTGAAGCTCACAGCCTCCAACAAGAACTGAGGAACAAGTAACATTGTGATATTCACATATTGGTAAAACCCCCACACCGCCACTTCACAGCACATTAAAAACAAAAATAAAACAAAGAACAAAAAATGAACAGGGGAAAAACATAGAAGTAGAAGTGTAAGGGATAAAATTACCACTATAAAGTCCACTGCTATTCTTAAACTTACAGAACATTTTCTTTAAAAAATAAATATAAAAATCATTCTGTGAAAACATAAGTGTAATTTAATCAGAACGGACTTTTTTTTCCTGCATGAAGATAGAGATAACAAAAAGAATAAGGCCCCTATTTCTGTTCATCTTTGACAAGGAATGAAACAGCTCTTAAAAAACTGATGTTAATTAAATAGTCAAACAAGTCATAGTCTCTAAAACTTGAACTCCTTTCCTGACAAGTAGTGGAAATCTGCATCAATAACTCCCTAGTAGTTTCTTTAAGAACAATGAACAAACTTACTACCTAATAAACCCATTGCCCCAAGTCCATTTCACAAATGCACACTATTTATGAATATTCCTCCACCTTAAAGTCAAAGGTACACTAATGAAACAAGCTTGTAACTTCATTGTAAGTGTCGTTTTGAGGTACAACTTTTCATCACGCACTATCAATAGATCAACAAGAAAGCAAAGGTACATTGATAGCTACAATATTGAATTTGCCAAAATTATTCACAAGCATTTTTTTGTACCCTCAATGACTAGGGACAATGTGTTTACAAAAAAAAAAAAAAAAAAAAATGCAATCTGGTAATGAATGAAATGTGTACCAATTTGCATCATGTACAAGAATATACAGTGATTATGTACATGGCAGCATGCCCTTTGAAAATCCCTGCCCAAGTAAAAGCATAAAAACAGCAACTAAAATAGTGTTTAAAACTGCACCACAAAGCATTTCAACTAAAAAATCATACTGAAATATAAAGGAAAAAAAAACCCCACTCAATATTTTTAGTTCTGCATCGTTTATATTTCACCCCTGAATTTAAAAAAATATTAACACAAAGATAAGATGCATTTTAAAAATTTCAAATCAAGAGGGTTGGAGTGAATAAAATGTCGCTATCATTTTAAAAACTCATGATTGAGTCTGATGTTAATTCTTATTATTCTTAAGATTTTTATCTCTTTGATGCATTCGCAGCATTTTCAACCGATAAATTAATTTTTTTTTAAAATAAAAAATTATATAGCTTGTAAGATGTTGCTTTTTTAAACCTTTGACAAAGCGAACATATTAATCAATAAAAAAAATAATAAATCAACATAATAAACAAACATAATAAACCAGAGTCAATGTATATCACCATGCAAATGAAAAGAATTGAACATGAGAGCTTGAGTAAGAAACAAAAAGTAGGCATCAATTCCTGTATTTTTCCTTAGTGAGATTGCACATTGAACATTTAATGAAAATGCAATAACCAATCCAAAATATACATGGAGAACCACAAAAGGATAGAGAATGCTTTCAGGCCAAAATTTATAAAAAAAACAACCCTGTTTTCATTCCACAAAAGATCAGAGTCGAATAAAAGTTAACGTCTCTGAGAAAGTGAAAGCCAGAAAAGCACCAAAACTTATGGAGAGCATGACTGTTCCCTCCAGGAAATGTAACCATTGAAGGGAGGATGATCTCAATCAGAAACATTGTTTTTTAATAAGTGTGGCTGATGGGAGTATTGTCTAGGACAATAATCATGTCACTTCAGTTACTCCCTGAAAACACTATCTGAAAGTAATATTATCTGACCGTTTAAACTGCACTTATTAGAAAATAACAGGCAAACCAAAAGCCATTATTTTAAACCACAGAAGCATTCTTTAAACCCATGAACTCAAAATATTACATCTTATCAAGTTTGACATCCCATCTCCATTCTGGTATGACAGACTGAATTTGTTGATAAGCAAAGCTGGGAGGCTAAAATTCCTAAAATCTTTATTTCTGACAAACAAAAGATGTGAAAAGAAACATACATAAAATTTGGTAACCAAGATTGTACAACAAATATACAAGAGGTTTAAAAATTCCTCAAACGTTGTTTCAGAAGCAAAAGCATTCTAAAGCACGAAATTCTGTAATTATAAATACAGCACACACATATATCTAAGATAAGGACAGTAATGTCTGGCTGTATGGAAATGAACAGCTTGAACTTAACAAATTTTAAATAAACACAAATGTGTCATTGCACAAGCTAAACAAGAGCATATTTCCAAAATTGAAATTTTTTTTTTTTAATGTATATTTCACTGCACAGAGGAATTGTGTATCTTTTAAAAAAAAGTATTAGACCAGACAAATTTTAGTTTGAATTCCCCTGAACTGATACCAGTTAACAGTTATTGTCAACCGAAACAAATTAAACACAATCTTCCTTTACTATTTTGGAAGAAAGGCACACGTCACCAGGATAAATTCAGCATAATATGACAGACAAAAGTTTGGCCTTCCAAACTGAGCAAGTAAATTCAATCCAAAATACCAACGTTTGCATAACTGTTCATACCTTGTTCTTCTATAGAACTAAACACATCAACATAATGGGAAAGCTGCCCTGCCAGTCTCACAATAACCAAGAAACAGAAATGGTTTGAGACAAAAATTTTCTCTTATGCTCCTGTCCTTCGAAGACTCTAAACTGTTGAGTTCATTTCATTGTCCTCCCTTGTCTTTCCCTTGATCTGTGGTAATGCCAGTGGTGGTCTCTGTGATAATGCAAGTGATGGTCGGAGATACCCAATCATAGGTCTCCACAATAGGTGTTACATCCCCCCTCCCCCAAGAATTGATAAGGATAACAGTGTCACTGAAGAGAAGAAGAGGCACATAACAAGTCTAACCAAAGCCACCACAAATAATTCACAACATTTCAATCTATTGCCTTGATTCTTACCTAACTTTGACTTGACTGAACTGAAGCACTTCCAAGCAAAACAAAACTTTCAACACTGTCCCAAGCAGAAGTATCCTCAGACATTGGAATGTGTGAGAAAGTCGGAGGACACAGTATCAGGACAAAAGACGATCATTCCTCCAGCTGCTGTTGTCTCAGCTAGCAAAACCGAACTGCTAGTCTTTTTCTTATTCCAAATTTGCACACAGATCATTTGCCACAAGCTTGCAGCTTCTTTTCCGCTGACCAAAAGAGAACATTACAGAGTGCTGTCTACTGAAAAACCTTCCAGCCTGTCACTGAGGCATTAATTAAAAGATCTCGATAGAAAGCAAAGAGCTGCACTGAAATGATACTTTTTCATTGTGTTACTTCAGGAGGGAAAAACGGTCTGCAAGAAAAGAAGTGTACTGTCTACAAATAAAGCAATTTTCCAAAAACCCCATGTAAGATCTAGATCAATTTCTACAATAAAATTTAGTTTACACAACAATATAAACTTCAAGATCCATGTAAACAAGCGTTTTCAGAAGCAATTAAACAAAATAACAATAACATAAATGGTGTTATCTCTTCAAAAGACGGAAAGTCACCACTTAAAACATTTTTCTTTGCCAATCATAAAAACAATCTTGAACATATTGCTTGCTCCACTGGTCTAATAACTACACAAGATATTGCCATGGCAAACAATACTTGTAGAACTGAATAAAGTGAACAGATTTTAACTGCACTCACCTTTTAAATACAATAATAGGATGAATCATTTAGGTCAAGCTTCACAGCTAAGGGGCTCATCATAAATTGTCATGAGGGTTAGTGAATTTGGACCTCAACTGATACCAAATTAATACACAAACTGTAACTTTGTGTAAAACGTCCCTGAAAAGGAAATCATACTTTTCCCCTCCTTTGGAATTATATAGACTGTATACAGTGATCTATCTAGCTAAACCTATTCTAGGTAGTGCCTGCTCCCCTCAACCAAAGACAAAATTTTTGCGTAATGGATGCATTTAGCTGACCAAAGAACCCTTGATAAACAACTTCACTTTTCATGCTACTTACTCTCTGACACATTAACACATTTCCAATGTTTTACAGCAATTTTTGAAAAGACCGCATTATGACTCTTTGCTCTGCCATGCTAAGCAAAAGTGGAAGGCAGACAAAAAAAAACCAGGCTGCAAACATCAGTTCTGGCTTCATTCTCAAGGGCATTCCTATCTCGACACCTCTCCTCCAAGAGCCCCGGGAAGGTCAACAGGTAAGCCCTAAAGAAAGGACAAATGTCTAAAAAGACAAAATTGTGTATTAACCTTCAACACTACACTTGACAAGAAACCATGAGACAGTCCCCCCGATTCGCTGTCATAGAAGTGTCATAGCCTTAAAAGTCAAAAACGAAAGGGGAAAAGTAGAATGTCCATCATACCCACAGAGAAGTGACAGAAGCACAAAGATTTAGCCTACTGGACTGCCCTTGAGAGATAAACTCTATGGTCTGATAGAGAACCCATAACACACAGAGACACATGCCTGGTTTACCAGAGTACTTGTATGTGTGAACAAAGAAAAGGCGATGGATTATATACAGCACATACCAGCACAGTTGAGATGAAAATGAGTGGTGAAATCAACATTTGAATTAAAAACATAACAGAGAATAAAATGCTTTGTGAAAATAACATGTTGGGAAAAAAAACAAAAGCAAATGGGGAGACACCATTTAACCTCTGTATTTTAAAAAAAATCTCCCCAAAAATGTACAGAAAAAAAATTCCTCGGCTCCTTAAGAGCCCTGTGGTAGAAATCTGTCCGGGAATACTATGAGAGCTTGCGTCAGTCCAGGGTGGCATGAGCTATGGCGGGGAGGTTGCAGTATTTCTTCATGTACAGAAGAACTCTGAAAGAAAATCATGAATGATATGCATTAGTCTCCAAATATTTCTTGTATAATCATGTACAGTTTAATTTCCACGACAATGTTGAATAATTTACAGCAATTCATTTGCTCCAGTTTTTGCTAACCAATAAAGATTGGAAAACGGTATATTATCAACATCTGGCTTCAGTCAAACTTAAGTCAAAATTAAACATTAAACTGACCCACAATAGCACCACTGCCAACTTTTCAAAACCAAAAAACCGACTATGTACATGGCAAGTCCAGATGGTGGACATGGGTCAGGGAACCCCCCTCCAAACCCTTCACACACATTTTTATATGCAATGAATTCCAAGTATTCCAAGTTTACCTGCAACAATAATGTCATAAATGTTAGTAAAAGTCTCTCTAATTGACTTACGGCCTTCATACTCATTATTTTTCACAGATCCTGTTTTGAAAGTCCAATATCTTTTTTCAGCATCAGCATGCCAACGAGGGACAATACAGTCAAATTTGCCCTAACAGAAACCTGTGTAAGAAGGAAACTTATCATAATAGAATCTCTCCGCTCTCCCCTAGATAAATTCCTCTATAATTACCTCTATAAAATGGAAATCTCTCTAAAGCGGAAATGGAATGAAAAATTCCCTCATTTTTTGGGGTTTTTACCTGTCTACGACGGAAAAAGTTTTGCCCACTCAGCCCTGATTTGAAACAAAACTATTAATTTTGGTTCCATCGGCTTTAACTTTTACGCTATGCCGCCAGTCGAGGAAGGGGAGTAGGGGTGTAATTTGGGAGTAGACGTTATCCCATCCATGTGAACCTTCAGCAGTGCAGATGGTCAGGGTGGTCTGGGTATGAAATCTCCCATGTAGTGCCTGTTAAAGTGCCAGAATAGCATTCCAGCACGGAAACTGTCATGAGTAGCCACAGGCAAGAGGTGCGAAATTAGTTTGACCAGTGCCAGCTCTGCCGTAAGCTGACAAAATGCCTTTTTCTTTCATTTTGGCACCAACCACATTTATTTGCTCAATCAAGTCTGATCAGGTTGAAAAGTCAAAGTGAAACAGTGACTAGCTTCTGAATAAATTCAAACTCAAATTTAGAAATCACTCTATTTTTCAATGTTTATGCTGACCAAAAAAACCCCCTCTTTTTCTTGAAATTGCCTAACTCGTGAGAAAATGTCTCTTTCTCCGATTTTATTATTTTGACGGGAACCTGATTTCCCCACGGTGCCTCACATATCTACTCACGCTGCTGCTCCCAAGAAGAATGTACAAGCATGTGTGAGGATCAGGGTCGGCAGGTTGGCCAAGGAGAAAAGACGTGTCTTCTTCATTACATTGGTGTTACGCACGCTCAAGGCTGGCCGTCCTTTGCTTCCTGGGTGTCGAAATCTTTCATTCCAGTTTTCACTGTAAACAAAACACCACTTTGATAAGATGTGAAAGACAGATGAAATGACAGTCAACTAAAAGTCAATATAAGTGAAGGCAAAGTGTTAGACACTAATCTGATATGCATCTTTTCAGTGCAAAACTGGAACATCTTTTAGAACTTAAGATTAAAATATTGTAAACACATAATTATGTAAAAACACTCCTCACTGCAGTGGGAATATAACAGCAGAGGTAAATTTTTCTAACTGAACAGCAATGGTTCACATGGTGATGATACAATATCATTTCCATTCCATACTTTTGTTTTTGAAACAACATTCCAGGCTGATAAAGCAACATACAGTCGAACCTGCCTTAACAGACTCGGAAAATTTCATTGGTAGCTAGAGGGGTAGCATTGGTTGACTGTGCTTATTACACCAAGGGGTCGGGCTAAGGCGGGAAGCAAAGGAGATGTTCAAACGTTTCTGTTCTTAATAGGTCAAACAGCGGTCCTATGATAAGCAAGCACTGGTGGTAATTGGATAAATAAGACTGACGCATGTCATTATCAGAGAGGATAGCAGCTGAGAGGTGCAAAGTTTTAACCACTTGTGATTGCTTGCCGACCGGACAAGCGACCCTTGGTCCCACCAGCTGGGCCTTTGTCCCCCCCCCCCATCTCTCCACTAAATTCCCCTGTCTAAGATGAAATTTTTTTTCTGGCTCCCTTGCAATTCAGTCTTACACAGGTGCGACTGTATCTGACTTTACAAAAGAAGCCATCTTAAGAATGTTTTTGAAAAAGTTAAAGAAAACAAAACTGTTTTTTAAATTACAACATCAAAAGTTGATATTCCTCAGAACTCCACGTTGAACAAATTACAAAGTACAGAAATACACAATTTGCAAATGCCTTACAATGATTGCAGAGCCTCAGGTCGACTTGACCAATCCCATATCCAGTCTGTGCCAGGATCCTGATGAGAGACATAAGACATAAAGAATTGTAAGAAAATATAATACTATATTAGAGCACAGGATTGCATAATGATCTAAGAAAGCAACTACTCGGAAAACAAATATCTGAATATTGAAACTTTGTACATATCAGTGTTATTTCACAACTGTCCAAACAAATTTCTAGAGGTTTCCAGATAAAGCTGTTATTAGAATAAAGGCATCAAGGGGTATCCTACCATTTAATTACGATGTGTTTTGTTCTTTCTGTCCTAGATTTTAACTGAAAAATAGAGAGTGCCCAAGTCACGTTCTGATTTGGCGCTCTCATTTTCTGTATTTTTCTCAAAACAAAAAAAAATTTATATGCTCTTGGAATGACATTAACTATATCATAATTGTCAGGACATATGACAAACTGAAAACCATCTAGAATTTGTATGAGCAATGCAATCAAAACATAACAGGGGACACATATGTAGAGAGACCTTTTTTTTTTAGGTTCAAAATTTCTCACTTTTTACAACTACAGTGGCCTCCGCCTAAGATCCCGGTGCTCAGGAGCAAGGAAAATGCGGGACCTTAAGCGAACAGGGATCTTAGCAGAATGGCCTGGGGGGAGGATCCAAAGAAACTCATGGTCAGGCCTATAATCTGTATAAATGATCTTCCCTTACTTAAAAATAAAATGAACTGACGTGATTCCTGGGCACTCCTTTTTTTTTTTCCCCGGGGGGGGCTTTTAAAAAAGATACAGCGTCAGATGGGAACCAGTTGGCTCCAAGCAATGTCCCCCGCGAAAAAATTTATTGCTTTCCATCTCTAATGGAGTTCCCTGTCCATGTCATGATGCATCATAAATCGTTGTGTTGTGACCAAACCGAAAAAAAATTTTTTTTATATAAAAGGCAGGTTCACTGCCAACAGATGACCTCACTATGCAAAGGCGATCGGACAGTCCACGAGTATGGGCGCCAGTCTGTCTAGGAAGTTCAAGTGCAAAACTGAAAGACGAGAGTGATGGTTGGGAAAACGTAAGCGTCCATGAGTTCACAGTTTGATGGAATGTAGTTTGACTGTTGCTTGTAGATCCTCCCCATCTAGTGTATGATCTTGTTCTTTAGTTTTTTCTTAAATAAAGAAAGAATAATAAAATTATGACCTGAAAAGCGGGATCTCAGCCGAATGTAGCTTCTTCAGTGCGGGATCTTAGGAGTGACTTCTATATAATAAAATTTCTTTCTGTTTTTCCAAAATATAATAAAAATTCTGTTTTTCCAAAACAGCAGGATCTAAGGCGAACTGGGACCATAAGCGGTGGGATCTTAGGCGGAGACTACGGTAATTAAGTCACATTAAGACTGCAAATTTTTCACAGAAATGGAAGAACAAAAGAACGTTTTACCTGTTTTGACTTCCACTCTTCACTTGGCCATTCACCACTTGGACTTGGAGGACTTTTGGGACTGCAACAAAAGAAAATTATTAGTACTATTGTAAATTAACACCCTTACACTTCCTTTCAGCCTCCAACATTTATCTTATAATGTGCTTTAAAAAAATCTCAGAATGTGACAAATTTCAACATGTTGAATACAATTGATAAGGTAAGTAAATGAAATTGTATATTCATGAACAAATTAAATGTACGGGAAATAATGAAGAAAAAAATCCAGTGTAGGTTCATGACACACTGTTTAATCAATTAAAATATAAGCAAAAGGAATCCTTCCTCATATCACAAAGATGAAGGCAGGCTACACAACTACTGTCTTAAATTGCAGGAGCAAGTCTACTGACAACATGAATTTCTAATAGTGTATACATCCAGCAATAGTTGAAAAGGATTAATTCTTTCTACAGATGCAAATACAGTGACACCATCTGGAGACAATAACCTTGCTAGACAGGCATCCATGATGTGTTCCCATAAGACTCAAGTTCCTATCCCTCTCTGTTTGCTCATACTCAAAGTACCAACAAGTACTTTGTTTAAACTGAATTTCTCTCAAAGGGAGACAGTATAGGTATTCTATTTAAGCAGCTCTGCAGTGAAAGGCAAATAAAAAAAAGAAGTACAGTAAGCATTTAACTCATTCACTACATAATTTCTTTTCTCATTCTAATCTTACTTTTTTCCACATCTCCAAAGGGCACATCATAAAATGTGCATCTAACATTAGATGCTACATAGTTTGATGACTGCGAGTCCATAAAATAACATTTGTGGTGAAGCAGTTAAATTTCCTATGTAAAGAAAAAAAAAAAAAAAAAAAACAAGTGATGGATACAAAACGGAAAAGATCTCGCAGTAACACATTTTAACAAACAAAAAAAATTCGTCTCCTGTTGTTACCAACTGAATTTTGCTTAATATTTCAATTGTTACACTGTACAAGGCAATTAAAAATGGCCACTTCCCATTTCTCCTCTTGTAAGTAAGTATTTTGCATCATAATGACCTTGTGTACGATATAGTCTTGTCTAAGACGGCCACTTTTCCTCAACAATGGGTGGCCGTGTCAGACAATTTCAACTATATATATTTGATTATCTCACCTTCCCCCTACAGAAGACTCTTTGCTCTGTGGTCGAGATGGGGTCCGAGACTCCCTCTGGGCATCAATAAGCAGCTTCTCAATACTGCCTGTGTAAGATACTTGAGGGTCGGCGCTGCTTGAACTTGCTTCTATAACATCTGGGGGATTCATGGGTTGATTGCTGTAGTGCAGTTCCACCCAGGAATCTGAAAAACACACACAAAAACCCCCAAATATTTTGAGTAAGGTTCACCTTCACAATAAGGACAATATCAAGTTATCTCACAGCAAAACTTTGTGAACTAATCATAGGCAACAGTAATGAGAGACTTGTCTCTTCTCTCACCATCTCTCTATCAGATGAACGAATAATACATATTTTTATTAAAACGATACCACAAGCCAGATTTGATTGAAAATGTTTTTTAGTTTAGTTTTAGTAAAAAATTTACGGCACTTGCAACACAATTATTTCATAAGTGCTGAAGATTTAGAGGAGTTGCAAGAGAGTAACAAACAAAAAAGAGGAGAGATAAGGATGATAGATGTTTGATAGAAAAGAAGCAGCAAACTACACCTGAACACCCATCAGCCACCTGCAGAAATGTTTTTTTCATCACCATCAACACTCTAAATCATCAAGGAGGCAGGCTGCTTTTACCTTGCCTGTCAGGGCTACCAACCACCCAATCTATAGTAAGGTGGATAAAAAGAAACAACCAAAAGACCAGAAAGAAAGGCTAAATTTCCAACCTCGGATCTAAAATAAACAAAAGCGTAACTCAAACAAAACAAATTGTGAGTGTTGTTGGTTATGCCCAAAGCAACATAGTTTCAATCATTTGGGAGGCAGACTGCTTTGATCCTGCTTGCCAGGTCCACCTCGTTTTTAATTTTAGTTTTAGTAGAGGTTTTACGGCACTTGCAACTGCATAAGGTCATATGAGCGCAAGAAAAGATTAGAGGTGTTACAAGAGAGTAACAAACATAAAAAAGAAGAAGGGGAGATAAGGACGATAGATGTTTGATAGGAAAGAAGAACTAAGCCAAACCAGAGCACCCGCCAACCACCCACAGGTCCACATCGGGCTGAGGAGAGAGATAAAATGTTGACCGAGATACAATGTAACCAAAAAAAATTCAGCTGCCAGTGCCAGTCCACTTCCCTGTCTACAGCGATAATACAGGCTGCCTCAAGTCCCGCCTGAGTGATCACGGTCTACCAAGATAACGCATTCTACCGTAAGGCCTGCACAGTGTAATGTTATACAATCATTCCCATACCCCGATGCACTTCTTTCAAGAAATCAGGGGAGCTAGCCCCG